CTAGATTTGCTTCATTTAGGGCTTTAGCACAGCAGAAAGGACACGACAGAAGAAATATGCGCTTCAGTGACTGAGACAGACTATTACTTTGGTGGTAAGAACGGATTCTTGTTGACGCGGAATTATTCAGTTTAGTAAATACTGGCTCCAGCTCGTGTGTCTCAAACTGAGAGGACTTTTACGCCGTTCACGTACCCACTAATTATGAATTTAGAAATGTTCTGTTAAGAATATGTTGTTTTGGGAGTTAGTTTCTATCCCCTACATGCTTGTGTGACCATGGTGGTAACTTATAAAGGTATAGGTTTTATGTCAGCTCTGGAGCACGTGAGTGGGATGCGGGAGTCTGGGATATGTGTTTTAAATATATGTATTTTCAATGATAATAATTATAATAATAATTTATCATGTGCTTCGTTGTAAGGGCAGGACTGAAGTCCTAGAAACTCTTAGGAGTCAAGATACGTGCCAAACACGGTCACCCACAGGTTTAAAGAACCATAATCGATAAAACCAGTAGTCACAATAAACCAGGAGGCACTTGCTAGTTAGAACTCTGGTTTTGGGTCCAGCTGGAATAGATGGGACTATTGAGTATACAGCCAACAGTGAAACGGATTTCGGTCTCCATGATGGAATAGCTGTTTTGTTTCGGTGCAACTTAAAATGGGGGTAATTAAAGTTTTGCACAGTTATCAGTGCGAAGAAAACGAAAACGCGAAGTCCATTTAGGAGATAAACATACTGTGTTGGAAAATCAGTCATATAACAAAATCTTAATAGCTCTATTTTTTTCATCTCCATTATCTATAGTATGTTTATCTCCATTCTACCATAACCGCGTTATTTAGATTTGAAAAGAATACATACTGTGTTTGAAAATCAGACGTGTAGAACGTAATTATATATACTAAGTCAAAAAAGAAACTTCACAAAATGTAATTTGAAAAATAATGAATAATTTTTCTTTGATGATACATCTATGTATCCGAAATGGGATCCCTATCTTTCGACTCTAGAAAAACGTTAGCAAAACCCACTCAAACCCATCCATTCCTCGTGCAAATGACGTTAGTGCCAAATCAGGTTTTGCACGTGCAGTCGATCACGTGATCTTCGCATCGAAGTTTTCTTCATATTGTAATAGAATCTAAATTGATATAGTATAAGTATTAAAAACATCATGTAAACTTTGTCAATCACAAGTGTCACCTATTTTCGTTATATCACGATCTATCTGCAAATGTCCATCCATATTTTTAACATTAAAGTAAATAATAACCTAACAACATCATAGAGAGTTACCTGGTTCTGAAGTTCACAGATCTGAAGCATCTTTAAGGGGGCATATTCACTGTTGATAGTTGTTTTATCAAGCACTGAACGTTCGCGGTAGCAGCACTTGTCAGACATGACCTAATTACCACTGTGTGTCACTACGCTATTTACATCCATGAAGGATTCTACTACTGATGTCATTGTGTACTATTATTGTACAGACTTATGTATTCCATGTCTCCAAATGATATATTTATTCACTGTCTTGAATCATTGTGTATTTTGAGTGTTAACACCGATGTTTGTCAGGGACTATTTCTTGTGTACACTCCGGCTTCGTGGCTATTTATAGAAAGTAAGTGTGACTTTTGACCCAGATAAACAATGACTTATTCCACTTGTTAATGACGATTTTCTGATAACTTTCTTGCTCATAAGTGTTTTAAAGTGTATTCCATGATGGATACTAATGAAAATTACACTTGATCGAACTGAATAACGAATTTGATGTGTTTGACATTTCTCTGGTTACGGTGACCTGTCAACAACATTTACGTTAGGCTGAGTTACTAATTATAAATTGGATGTCCGTTTTTATATCAAAGCCACATATTCATTATCTGGTATTTTTCTGCATTCTTTGGTAGAAATGCCTTGCTTTACGATATAGAGGACAATGTATAACCACCTGTATTTCCTACATTTGTACCTGCAATATGACAGTCGTTTCGTGTTTTGACATTTGTTGCCGACAATCATTCTAGGCACTAATTGACAGTCTGCTGTCCGTTTTCTCTGTTTGCATTTACCAAATATTTTAGCAAACTTGTTCGTGTCCGAATTGTTAAAGGACACATAGGACAACATCAATTCCTGGGTACAGGGCATATTGATGCTACACTGGGCCAAAGTTGTCAATGGTCTTAGTATACATTTGACGTCTGTCAAAATGTCGTCCCGCCACTTGGCCTGAATATAATCGTTGTCCTTATTCTTGTTATATCACATGTTTACACAAATCTCACTTTTCCATCATGGTTGATCTTTTCGGACACTTTATTTAACATAAGGACAATACCATATGATAAAGGAAACTGATGCTTTTGTAAATTTCACTTGTCATAGAGCCGACCACAAACCAAGATGGCGGCCACTGACGCTACGTTGACGGAAAGATACTGTCCGTTTTAATTATAACAAATTGTCTCGATGTCCTGATTATTTCTACTGTGTCCTAATTGTATTCGGGCAAGAAGGACAACATAAGGACAATTAGTAGTCACTTACTTGTGTTAGAAATGAAACTGCCTATGCAGTGTTTCTTGTATGCAGACATCAAACCTGTGTTCTGATTGGTTGAGAAAGGTCACATGACCTCCTGATGATGCCTATAAATACGATCACTGGTCAAGGCCTGACACACTCGATTCGGATTCGCATTCGGAATCGATTCACTCGATTTAGATACAATAAGACTTTCGGTCTGATTAAAGGCTCCTGCTCTAGTTTTTACCTGGCACCTCTACTGACTTAGATTTATCATCATAACTGCTTCTAGGTATATATTTTAAGACAAATTACAATCAATTTAATAACTATATTACATACTCAGTAACATTTCTGCAAGATATTTGAGTTGAAATAACAAAATAACTATTTCCTTGGAGATTGAGCCTTGTCATTAGATAGATATATATAGGCCGAGTAGTGTGTGATATTTATTGGCATCATTTATTTTATTGCATTGCTAACAAAATCCCATCTACATTCTTGCCATTGAAACAAAATTAAAACAAAGTTTGCATATATCACGGCAAACTTTGCTCTCTACTTCATCGTCCTACGTCACCTACGTGACAGATTTCTGCCGGCTACACGAACCAGGGTTGAGATGTTTAGAGGTCGACTGTCCTCACAGACCATTCGAAATCGGTTGCGGGGTGCCAATCTCCAATCCCGACGTCCATATCGTGGGCCAATATTGACGCCGTTTCATCAACGTCAACGTCTGCTGTGGGCCCAACGTCACCTCCGATAGACCCAGAGAGACTGGAATCGAGTCGTCTTTAGCGATGAATCCAGGTTTACCCTCAGATTCGCGGACGGCAGGCATAGAGTCTGGAGACGACGTCGTGAACGGTATGCCCAATGTTGTGTACAGGAAGTCGACAGATTCGGGGGCGGAAGTTGAATGGTGTGGGGAGCTTTCTGTGGGAACAACCGTTCCCGACTTCTGGTCATCCGTGGAAACCTCACAGCTGCTGCTTACCGCGACCAGGTGCTCACCCCAGAACTCGTTCCTTTCATGGCGGCTCATGGCCCAGGTCTACAGTTCTAGCATGATAATGCTCGGCCGCATACCGCGATGTTGACACGAAATTTCCTTCAAAACGCTGGAATCAAAGTCATGGACTGGCCATCGAGGTCCCCTGACCTTAATCCAATAGAGCACGTATGGGATGCACTTGGGAGAAGGCTTCGTGGTCTTAGGAACCAACCACAGAATTTGCAGGAACTTGGCGCTGCCTTGCAAGAGCAATGGCGCAGAATCCCCAACCACGTGTTCACAAGCATCAGGCAGTCGATGAGGAGATGGTGTTTGGCAGTGGTGAATGCGCGGGGTGGCCATACACGATATTGAACTGAGAAATTTCGCATTTTTATTCTTGTGACTTGACATTCTGTACACCCATGTTTTGGAACGGCGGTGTAGCCTAATGGACTTGATTATGGCACTGTCAGTGTATCGAGTACATCACACAGATCTCAGCATTGAAATAATAACAATTTAACCATCTTACCATCTCTTGTTCTTTTATAGTGCCCTGAAGAAAGAATGTGAAGTTTTTTTTTTGACTCAGCATACTTCTGAATGACTTTAATTAACCAGTCACAATCCAGTATTTACTGAAATCATGGTAGAATACTCGATGTCGTACAGGACAATTTAACCTTATACACTCCTGACGAATGAGGGACAGTGGGGTAACATAGTGGTTAAGGCGTTCGCTGGTCACGCCGAGACCCGGATTCGATTCCCCACATGGGTACAGTGTGTGAAGCCCATTTCTGGTGTCCACTTTCGTGATATTGCTGGCTTATTGCAGAACTTGCGTAAAACTAAACTCACTCACTCATTTGTGAGAGGGTTTTGAGCCAACTTGCAGATACTTCTGCCATGACTTGATCTAAACTCAGGAACTGTCTGAGCTGTTAATGTGGCAGGTTGCTGGCGATTAGGTGCCTCGCTCGGAGAGTTTGGGTTGGAATCCTGTACGGGACTTAAAAAAAAGTACTAGATGAAGTGAAGTACTGGAACCTGTACTTTACTGAGAAAGTGTATTCAATGTGATAACAGTCAATATACACCTCAGCAGTGCATAATACTGCCTAACCCGGTATCAAAATATAGGAGAAAACGTTCGTGGCAGTGGCATCATAGCTAACCCTATGAGCATGGGTGTGATACTGAAAACATCCCCGAATCGTGGTTAAACTGGGATTAGTCCCCACAACTGTAGGTTTCTGGCATTCCAAGGGGAAGCAACTCTGCACAGCAATGGCAGTGCCTTACGCAACTGGGCAACCCATGCCCTCTTATGGAACTGAGAAGTCTGTTGATGGGTGGATCGTCTGGTCCAGATTTGATTATTTACAATACCACACCATATAACCAGAATATTGCTGAGTGACGCATTAAACAACAAAGACAAACAAAAACAAATGGGCATAGACTTTTAATGAAAAGTTACAAATATTATACACAGTATGATTGCTCATGACATCAAACATCTTGCCACAAAAAGATAACAGCAAACTGTATGGAGAAAACATCTTTAGGTCACTCAGAATGATAACTGGAGGGTCCCAAGATGAACACAGAGGATATGAGTCATGATGACTTAAATTTAATCAAACATACTCAGATATCATTCCTTTAACCTAAACCGTTGTGGTGTAGTGGTTAGAGCATCCACCGGAGAGCGGAAGGTTGTGGGTTCGATCCCGACCACGTCATACAAAAGGACGTTAAAATATAGTACTTGTTGGTCCACTCGACATTAATGGGTACAACAAGGACTGGTCGGCTCGGAGTCAGTATAATGTGTCTGAGTGGGTTATTGATGCTTCACTGCAGCATGGTATCTCAGTGGGCTAGCACTATAAAACCAGCTTAAGTCTGGGCTAGTACAAGCAGCCGCACATACACAGACACACACATGCATGTCGTCATATGAGCGAAATATTCTCAAGCACAATGTTAAACCCAATTTCACCTCACCTCCTGTAACCATGGTAAATACTTTAAGATGAATTAACAATTTGTCTAATATTCCTAGCAAAATTTGATCAGGTTTAGTTTGTCTGTTGCTTAACACCATACTAAGCAATAATCCAGCTGTATGGTGGTGGTCTGTAAATCGGGTCTGGAACAGACAATCCAGTGATCAACATCATGAGCACCCATCTACGCAAATGTGATCCAAATTTGATCAGGTTATCAAACATATTTACCATCTGTTATCATAATTAATTATTCCTATTTGATTAAATGCAGCGGAAATCAGTTATCAAAAAATCTAAGATTATCCAGTGTTAGACTGTGTTTCTAAATTTTGACATATGTAATAACAAATTTTCCTACTGTAGTTTGGAGACATGATGTACTTGTTGCTAAAATCTTCATACAGAATTTTTGTGAAACACAAATGAATATTGATTGGGTCGTCAGTTTTGGCATTGTGCTATTCAAACCTGAGTCCACACGAAGCTGTGGTAAGTACCAATATACAGGATACTACAATTAGTCAGTGTAACAATTTACATTATTACTTGTATGGATTTACCTTAATATCTGTACAGACATTTATTCACATGATGCTTCCCTTTGAAACTGATTGAAAGCAGACACACTTAAGCAGGGTTTTACATAATGCGCGATTCCTGCTTATTTGACGCAACAATTTGGTAAATGACTCTCAAAATATTATCATACGAGTCAAGCTTGACGCAAGGTTTATGGGTGGCCCTCACAATTCAGTTCAATAAAATCGATTTGATAAGCAAAAAATGATATTGTTCGATGATAGTTTGACTTTTACAAAGCTGTCAGATTGTTCCAGAGAACTCGGGAGACAGTAATCCTGGCTGTTTGAATTGAACAATGCTGTAGTTTCATTTGGTGGTGTGACATAGACAGTTACATACTGAGAATGATTAACAAAAAGAAATACTTAAATTTTCATGACTCCCAAATATTGAAAATGACTCCCAAAAATAAATATTGTGAGTCACCATGACTCCCATTTTTAAAAGTCTGTGTAAAACCCTGCTTAAGTGATTTTTCTCACAAAATTCCCCCTGTATCCATAAATTATAAATGGTGGTGACAGCTGTGTAACATTTACTGTAGGAATAGGAACTGCATGTACAATCAATGTCCAGCGTTCTAGCTGCAGTACACAGCAATGCACATCAGAGTATCTTTTCAGCTTAGACTGCCCAGGGATGGCAATTTTCTGCGGATCCGCTGATTTCCGCCGAATTTATTTCAAATTGATCATTCTGAACCCGCCATTCGATGACACAATAGATTTTCCTGTTGCCATCCCTGACTGCCATCTGTGCATACTTACCGTATTCAATGTAGTTGGCGCCCCTCCCTAACAAGTGCCCTCTAATAGAAATATGCTGCATTCACATACCTGTTGACATTTTTGTGTGATTATAAAAAAAGAAGAAGCCAAAAGCGGTTTAGAACCCAGTTCACTCACTCAGTATTATATTTATCATCAGATGATATGTTTTTGGACTGGAATGTGTATATTCATGCTCAAACTAAGTGTGTTGCAGAACATAGACATGATAAATATGTGGATGATGGCTTGTGTTTAAGTTGTCGTATATATTTACAAAATGTTTTACAATTGGTTATGTAAAATTAGTGAGAAAGAAAGAAATGTTTCTCGAGCATCGACAATCTACAATGGGTCTACTTGCTCTGCCTCTTCTGTTCTTCCAGAGACAGAACGCGTAAATTCCTGTCTTGATCTGAAACTTGTGATTGGTCGCCTTCAACTTTTAGTTCAGGGTTACTGGACGACTTTACTTCAACGTGAGGAGCAGAGTCTTCACTGCTGTCGGGTGCACAGTTTTGACTGTTGCCTGGTAACGTACCATGGTACAGTGGTATGATGACAAACTGTCCTGATTCGTCCTGTTCCATGCAAAAAGTTAATGATTTATCATCACTTCCACCAAAAACATCAGGTGGACAGAAATCAATGTTGGGTGCATCCCACTCACTTCCTGAGCTTAGTCTGTCTGTCACCACGTGTGGTAACACTGGACCACTGACGTCAGATGAAGGATTTAACAATGGAACACCTTCCTGCAAGTCTCCATCCCAAGGACCAGGAGCAGACTGTCTTTGAACTTGTGGATTATTCACAAACTGTTTTCTCTTAGGAATACTTTGACCTTGAAACAAAGATTTATCATATTCTTGATAAAGATATGGGTGCTGTGAGGGGATGAATGGCGTCCCATACATGGCAGGGTGGACCCTGGACCAGTCTGATTGCAGCTCTGTAGGAAGGTGCTGTAGAAGCTGGTTAGGGGAAACATACCTGCCTGTATGGCCCTGCTTGTCAAAAGTGGATGGTCCTTCGTGCATGTGATGCTGAAACATCTGACCCCGTGGATCAAAACAGCCTGCAGAACAGCTGTGACCCACAGAATCGTCGTACTGTCCACTATCGTCATACAGTCGACTGTCGTCATAATGTCCACTGTCAATGAATGTCTGCTGGCCATAATGAAGGTAAGGGTTATAACCTTGACCTGACAAACTGTAATCACGTTTCCCTATTCCGATTCCATACTGGTCAGGATGAAGGTTCGGCTGATCAACATTGCAATAACCAACATTCAATATTCTTTGTCGTCCATCTCCCATCCCATGCTGGGGTTGCAATGGATGAAACTCATTTTGTATATATTTCTTTTCAGTGTGCACTGGATCAACTGAGTTCATTGGACTTGAAACAAATCCAGAGTCTAGAGCATAATTACTTGGCAGATCTGGTGAGTGTTTGTATTCAAGTTCGCTTTGACCATGAGGTTTATCTGAAACCTCTTCTAAACTTACACAACTCTTATCAAGATCTGTTTCTTTCAAAGTCAGGAGATTTATTGAAGGTCTCCAATTCTTTTGATCAAGAAGGAATCTGCTTGCTGAGGCAAGCTGACATGGCTCTTCATCTTCCCCACTCTCGTCGTTATTTTGATCAGAGATGGAACCCACGGACTGAGCCTGTGGATACCGCATAAGTGTTTCAGTAGTCATGCGAGATACGGCATCACTTTCTGCTATGGAGGATGTTGCATGGTTCTTTCTGAAGATCATTCTTGGTGGTTGACGATTTACCATTTCTTTACAGAAATCTTTCCAAGACTCTGATAACTTATAATTTTTATCCATTCCACCTTTCTTCAGCTTGTGCCCTAGATTTGAAAAGTCATCAGGCAAAACATACACTACATCATTCCTTGAAGAGTGACTGAAACAACCTGGCTTCATCCTAACCTCATTATGATTATCATTGGTTGAGAAGACATCCATGTGCTCATGATGTCCATCAAAACATACAAAATATACACGGCTGGATAATGCAGGATTTTGTCCAATCTGTTCCAGAGCCTGGTAGAAATAATTTTCCCTTTGTTTATTTTCCGATATTTCTTTTCCTAACTTGGAGCAAACAACTAGGATGTTAGAATTCTTTGCCTTGTCCTCAAACCATTTCGCCAGTCCGGTCCCTGCTGTGATGTGCTGTAGTTGTTCCTGGTCGTAGTGGACGTCGACTTGCAGGTTCTGTCGAAGGACACATGACAGCTTCTTCACTCTGCCCTGGACATCGCTCGCACTCACCAATAATGTCTGTCCATTTCCTGAAACTATATACATGTAAAGAGAATGTGAATACCAATGTGTCATGAGGTGTTTGTTGTTCTTAGGCTCCCCCACTGCCCTGGAACATCACAAGTTTTCATGCAACCATACAATACATGATATGCTCACTGACAAATTACAATCTGTCAATGATCCCTAATGGTTTTGTCTGTTAAATATTCAAAACTTCTTCTAGTTAGCCTTTCGAGTTCATTATAACAAAATAGCAGGTACCAAAATGTTTCGAACCCTTCCTGAATAGTTGACTTACCGTGTGCTGATCTGATGCATCCTGGGCCATGCCAGCAGATGACGATCAAGAGGATCACGGCCAGAACTGCTCCACTAATTGCCGCCAGAAGGATCTTCAAGGTGGAGTCTTCTTCTTTCAAGGGGGGATCTAAGGAGAAGTAGCAACAACCAATTATTAGTGCCTGTAGCTCACCTAACATTTTGGTGACACTTATCTATTAGCATGTTAAATGCTTCAGATGTAAACAAACATAAAATGATATCATTTATAATAAATTTTGCTAAGGAGGCTTAAAATTGTCTGTGATAAAGAACTTAGACCTTTTAGATGGGCCGGTTAAAATATAATTTTAATATTGCTGATTGTAAAATACACCTAAACCTAAACACTCTCGAGTGGAGACACTGAATCCCCTAAATCTTAGAGATACCATCATTTCTACTGGCAACAGGCCACCCTAGTGATGAAATCAAGTTGGCCCTTAGAACACCATTATCTAAAGACATTATTTTCATAATTTTGTTTCGTTCAGATGTACTCTAGTGATTACGGTTTTATTGGCAAACCACATGTAGCAGTATTTCGTATACCTACAGTTATGATCTTTATATTCCTTGTGCATGCAGAAATTATATGGGTTAATTAAACACATGCCATGCAGTTAGAAGATGAAACGACACTACTTTACATTAGATATTTCCATCACTTTCTCTCCTGAGTTCAAGATTTTGGTCATTTTATTGTTAAAACTATTGAACTATGGCTTTTTAAAGCTGTTTACACTTTTTTTAATAACAAAATGGGCATGGATGTGTAAAATCAGGTCTGAAATGCTGAGTTGCGGAAATGAACCCATGAAAAAGTGGCATAAATAGGTGCCAGCCTGACTGATTAAACATCAGTCGATGTGTGAAAGAGGTATTGTAATGTTGACATCATGAGCTACAGTGACAAAGAAACAAGTTCCAAAGATTACTCAGGCCCAAGTAGAACCAAACATCCCTATCAGGAATCAGTAATCCTTGCACTATAGAATTCACAGTTGTCTGTCTGTCAATAGTCCATTTATGAGGCGCCTTTCCATGCCTTTCAAGGTGCACACCAGAAGGAACACAGAATAGTGGTGGGAATCATTTGGAACAGGCGAGTCTGTAGAGTAGGTATTCAGATAAGAGTGAGTGAGTGAGTTTAGTTTTACGCCGCACTCAGTAATATCCCGGCTATATGGCGGCGGTCTGTAAATAATCAAGTCTGGACCAGACAATCCAGTGATCAACAGCATGAGCATCGATCTGCGCAATTGGGAACCGATGACTTGTGTCAACCAAGTCAGTGAGCCTGACCACCCGATCCCTTTAGTCGCCTCTTACGACAAGCATGGGTTAATGAAGATCAATATTCTAACCCGGACCTTCACGGGTTCTGGAGATCTGAGATTTTGTAGCACCGACCAGGAGGCTGTTACAATAGTCCAGGCTACTCATCACCAGAGACAGGACGAGGAGGGCAGCAGAGTCCTTTGTTAGGTACTTGCATATGTTCCCGATATTCCTCAGATGAATGAATCAGCTTTTTTATCAGATTGGTGACGTGGTGATCGAGTGAAAGCTCTGGATCGAGAATCACACCAACATTCTTAATAGTATCAGACACTGGGATCTGGGAAGTACCGCATTCAAAATTTGACACTGAGCATTGAGATCTACATGTAGGTGTCCCCATCAGAAGGCATTCGCTCTTGTCATTCATGTCATCACTCACACACTGTAGTCACCTATGTAAATCAGTTGAATGCCCTTGTAAACTGTCTTTCCACATGGGCTCGTGTTATTCACCGCCTTTGGTTCCACCTGCATAACAGTCAACGAGAAGATTGAGTGAGTGAGTTACGTTTTATGCCGCACTAAGCAATATTCCAGCTATATGGCAGCGGTCTGTAAATAATCAAGTCTGGATCAGACAATCCAGTGATCAACAGCGTGAGCATCGATCTGCGCAAATTGGGAACCGATGACATGTACCAAGTCAGTGAGCCTGACCAGCTGATCCCGTTAGTCGCCTCTTACGACAAGCATGGGTTACTGAGGATCAATATTCTAACCCGGACCTTCACGGGTACAACAAGATTGAAACAGAAATATGTAAGACATGGAAACATGTACACATCCCAGAAAAAGACATTCCGCATCATACATCTTAGCACAGATAATTTTCTGTGTTTCCATTGACAGTTGACCACATTTATGTACCTCATTAATACTTAAATAAATTATTTTGTTTCAACCAAAATGTCTCGTTATTTCAATTCTTTGTTTATTTTTTCACCATATGCCTGTCCCACCATTAAAAATCCATAAGGACCTTGTGAAAGCTTGTCTTTCAGTCTGTTCCTATCCACTACAATACAGCACAATATCTATCCCGCCTCCTCTTACCACTCGGAAAACCTGCTAAATCCTTCATCCCAGATTCATCCGCTTTCTGTAAGAAGATCCACATCAACCAACCCGGCAAATTAATAAGCTATGACATTGTTGACCTGTTCACTTATGTTCCATGTGACAAAGCCTTTGAAATCACAGAAACCACGTAGATGAAATCACCCATCCCTAGAAACCTGTCTAACAACTGACAGTATCATCCAACTGATACACTCAGTAATATTCCAGCTTTTGGCTGCGGTCTGTAAATAATCAAGTCTGGACCAGACAATCCAGTGATCAACAGTATGAGTATCAATCTACGCAACTGGGATACAATGCTATGTGTCAACCATGTCAGCAAGCCTGACCACCCGATCCCGTTAGTCGCCTCTTATTACAAGCATGGGTTGCTGAAGACCAGTTATAACCCAGATCTTCACTGATTGTGTTGTATCGAGCCTAACTGGATCAAGTTTCAATCACTGACTTGTCTGGTCCAGGCTATTATATACAGCCTGATGTGGAAGCAAACTGTTCTATAAAACTTTATTTGCTCACTCACTGGTTCATTGGGAATAGTCATGACAAGCAATGGTGTCTATAGTGGATTGTTTAATGGCCCCCTCAGGTTTGCAGCTAGCTTAGTGGTTACAACATTCACTTGTTATGCTAAAAATGCTGCTTTTATTCCCCAATAGGGAGGTCTGCTGATGCCGTAATCCTTGAAACACTGTTAAACTCACTCACAGAAAGCCTGAAAATGAAATGTATTATCTGCCCTCAGGTCAAAATCAAATATTGGCAATGAATATACCGGTAACAATATTTCAATGAAAAATGAAGGGGAGATAACTTACCTGGACAATGTAATAACCAGGACTTAGGTTCTCAAATTCATGTTCTTCAGTTCCATACTTTTTCTGCATAAATATAAAGACATAAATATTACGTGTTAAGCTAAAAAAACAAACTGTTTTTAAATAAATTTAGACAAGTACTGGGTATAAAACAGGAGAACTAGCATTCCATTTGATCAACTGATCAAAACCCATCAAATTGCTCTCAATATGACCATTTCAGTTTCAGAAGGAATGCCACCTTTTGCTCTCAATTACATAATTTAGTTCTTACCAATCATCAATATATTAGCAAACATTAAAAAATTTAAGTTACTTATCATGCATAAACAGTTACATACTAAATTTTATTTTTAAAAAGTGTGTGTGTGCGCATGGGATTTAACCCAAACATTTGGCCTTTACATAAAAAATATTCTACTGACATTTAAATCAAATGAAGAAAACCAAACATCTTTTTTGCCTTTCTTCTCACAGAATATAAATAGTCTTGAAGCAAATGATAAAAAATAACACCCTGAGACAAAATGACATGGTCAGTACTCTGTCTGAAAAACACAAAGAACCCACCTTGGCGGTGCTGAGAAGATCCTTCTTCTGGTATAGTGAGACCAAATAGTGAGTAATCCTGGCTGTACGGTCAGGTCTCTGCCACACAACGTGCACACTCCGTCGGGCAGGAATAGCAGCCACCGCCAGAACTACACGACACTTGGGGTGTTCTCGCGGCTCACCTGATCAACAATCACTATTATGTTGTACAAATCTTTCTACTTGTGGACATAATTATAACATGGCCGAACTACTGTTTTCTTTGCCTCCAAAAGTTTATAATTTTGATAGAAAAGAATAGATCCATTATAAATTCAAAAGGATCCCAAGCGAAAGGGGATATCCTGAACCTGTGGACAAATCTACCGTACACTTGTTTCGTTTCTGGCTTTTGTATTAGAGAAAGGGAAAATAAATGATAAAAATATTGAAGTCAATTCCTACTGGCAAGTAAGACTTGTTACTACCATGAACAGATGAACTCACTGTGTATGACGAGGGTGTATTTAGTTTCTGCCTGTGATGGAAGGGAAGTAAGCTTCAGCTGGTAGTGATATGTGACTCGATTCAGGATCATAAGTCCCACCAGGCACTTGTACTTGATCTCACGCTGAAACAAATATCATTACGCAGGTTGACTCAATTCATCCTGTAGATTGGTCCTTATGTTTGTTTTCCTCTGCGGCACCAGAAATGCCAAGTGTTTGGAAAAAACATGGCAATGTCCACCGCCACCAAAGAAGAATGAAATATAACATATACTCTTCAAAAAATCTAACGCAAAGCCAGATTATCACTGGATATTTCAAAGATATTTACTACATGAACTAAAAATGAAAGAAACTTTGTACAGATAAACAACATGAACCGAGGCTTTAACAATAGTCATCGAATGTCCCAATGTCACATTTGACGTCACATACAGTTAGTAACGTAGTGTGACCCCCCTGAGAGTCAATTACTGCCTGGCATGATATAAGGATATGACTTAAAATGTTGTAGTGACTGTAGTCCTATTAAAAATAGGGAGTTCTTTAAATTCTTTTGAGTAAATACATTCATTGAAAATGTGCTGCTTCTGTTGGAAAGTGAAGCTATTCAATTACCAATGAAATTCAAAGAAAACTATTTGTTTGTTGAAGCTATGAAAATAAGATTATATTTATTCATATCAGTTACTTATTTAAACCATCAATAATGCAACAGAAATGTTCAAACAAAAGTATTTTTTTCGAGTTTAGTTTGGACAATATTTCATAATATTATGGCATACCAGTTTGATGTTGGATGAAATGACCTTAATGATGCTGGTCTAAGAAATTTACTTAATTTTACTTCCATTCAAATGTAGTTTTATTTGGCTCTATTTCAGGACGTTATTTTAACAGTGTTGCTTCATGATCATGTAATGGAATGGACAACAGGAAATTGACATGGTATGGCCAAGTTATGTTTATACCCACCCCAGTCTAAATAAAAACTTAGTCTCAGTATTATTCGTTACACTAGTACTGCTATACAGAGTCTAACAAAACCTAGTAAAAGGTCGCGTCAGTTAAACTTTCAGCGACCTATGACCGTCTAATCAAACGCGAGACGGACGAATGGATATAACAAATCAGACAACGACTACTTGTTAGGGTTCGTTGGGACTTACAAAACGTTTTTTGTATTTTCTCTTCCCTGGTCGCTGACATCTATCAACAAATGAAAATTGTCATAAAACACAGATATTTGACCTGCAGTATATATGCTTATGGGTTTCTAATGACATGATGACTATTTGCTTATATTTTCAGAAGATGACATCCTTGAATATTGACAAAACGCTATTTTCAGCGACCGTTTACTCATTGCGTGTATCACTCGGAAGCGATCGTGCGGCAAATAGCATTCGGAATTGTTCAATTTTTTAGGTAAACGCTCAAACAATATGTGTGGATGGGAACTTTCGCGATTTGGTAAGCTGTGTTCTGATTGGTCAGTCCATAAGGTTAGCTGACACGACCTACTACTAGGTTTTCTTAGACTCAGTATAGCAGTGTAACGAATAATACTGAGCCTAACTTTACTTAGACTGATGCCCACCCCCAACAAGACCGAAATTTTACATGGAACACCATACTTCTTTTGTATTTTACAGATTTAGAGTGAGTGAGTTAGAGAGTTGGGTTTTATACTGCTTTTAGCAATATATCACAGCAGGGTCACTGGAAATGGGCTTCACACATTGTACCCATGTAACATGACAAGCAGGCAACCCCACCACCCCACAGATTCAGAACAGGTGTACAGCAGAGGTGTACAACTCTAAGAGAAAAAACTGTAGTTTCATCAACACCTTTAACTTTGTACAATTTGTCTGATACCACCTGATCTCTTACAATACAACATAATATACCCGTACTGAACCAGGATCTTAATGATGGCTTTCCTCTCACATCAATAAAACCAACACACCTCCACGTTACAATGTTCAAAAGAGGTGTTAAATCAACCTTGCTCACTCAATAACTCATACGTTGGCTGTGACAGAAGCCAAGGAATCATTTAAGCGGTAACACAGTGCCGGCACCAGTATCAGACCTCATCAAACTCATTGTAGCCACGCTTCACTGGCTTTGCTGTTGTGCATAATCACACTTTTGAATTTTTTAAAAGTACAATCAGCATTTTGAAGAGGACTTGATACATGTAGATAAGTCATCACGCATATTTAATGACGACAGGATTCTCCATTGTCAGATCTGAGACTCATGGAAACTACAGACCCAGGTGGCGCTGATGCCTATCAATCATGATGACAGCTGGGCTTGTATTGGCTGTAACCTGAGATCCAGGAAGCAGTATCTACCGAATGGGGGATATCGAAGTGATATATGATCTCGACAAAAACAGATGAATATCTATTCATGTCTGAAGTAATTAACTTGGAATATCAGCATATATCTTCTGACTTAACTGTAGCTGATATCCCAAATGATTTAGCTTCAAAACAATTCAAGACTTAACTTGTCTAGACTGACTGACTGACTGAGTTTTGGTTTTACTACGCTTTTAGCAATATTCCAGCAACATCACGGCGGGGGACACCAGAAATGGGCTTCACACATTGTACCCATGTGGGGAGAAATTGTCTAGAGAGATCGAGTGAGTGAGTATGGTTTTACACCACGTAGCAATATTCCAGCAAAACCATAGTGGAGTACACCAGAAATGGGCTTCACTGACATCAAACACTAATCTCTCACAATCCCCGAACAGCAGCATTTCCCTGTCCACCCAGCCCTTTCTTCAAATGCTAAGTCCAAAAAAAAGCAAGTCTACGAGTAGATTTCATCAAGATCAGAATCTCCTATGTCACTGGGGCTCCTTTTCAATTTAAAAGGAATTTTTTGTTTCTATCAAAATTATATAAATTCAGAGACAAAGTGTCTGTCTAACTGAACACATTAACCAATTGGTTTTCTAAACACAAAAACCCCTTCCTGTTTTAATTTTAGTACAGCTATAGCTGGGTGATTGGCACAATGTATATATACTTCTGGGTGTGATGAGGGTAGCCTAGTGGTTAAAGTGTTTGCTAACAGCGGCATAAAACTAAACTCACTCACTCACTCATATATACTTCTCATCACCTGGCTGTAGCCACTTTAAAAAATCATATGCTTTGTTATAGTACCGATATTGCTTGTACCGGTATCTATAGTACCGATATTGCTTGTACCGGTATCTATAGTACCGATATTGCTTGTACTGGTATCTATAGTACCGATATTGCTTGTACTGGTATCTATAGTACCGATAATACTCCCCGGTATCTATAGTACCGATATTACTCACCGGTATGCTCTGTACAAGCGTGCCAGAACTGAAGTCAAACACACGACATATTTCATGTTTCTTGTAGTAGTCATCTTGCCCCGAGGGGCAGCTGAAGTCCACAAGCACAGCCTTTGTGCTTAGAGCTTCAACCCCTGAAGACACAACATCAAGAGCACATCAGTTACCGTACAGAATCTAGTTCACACCAACAAGGGTTAATTGTTTTTTAATGGGCATATTATAAAACTTGAAAGATGACAATGTAGACAATTTCAGGACAACAATTTTTTCCATCATAACTGTGGTTTGGAATATATCCTTTTGCCTTACGATGGTAAAATATCTATACTGATACATCGCTATGAGAGAAGTTGTTATCCATAAATTGTGGCCTTTGTCATCAAGAATAAGTTTGAGACAATCATGTTTGTTTCGTTTGTTGCTTAACGCCACACTCCAGCTTTATGGTGGCGGTCTGTATATAATCGAGTATGGACAAGACAAGTGCAGCATTAATCAACAATCAGTCATTCAGTCAACTAAATGACAATAAAATAAATAATGAAAAAAATATAAAAAATGTTGTGTTGTTGCTTACCTCCATATGGTGTCTTGAATGAGTATGTAAGACTTGGGTTCTTACCACGCAGATAGGTTCCGATGGTTGCCAGCAAAGCAAAACTGTGGAACGCCACAGATGGCGAGTTGTTATACCGATTACTGATATTGGTACACTCTGAAACAAATGTTCCTATTTGAGACTTCAATTAGATATATTGGATAGAAACATTTTGATATATGTTGAATAGTCATATAAAGTACAGGGAAAGAAACCTTTCAAAATTTCCCACTAGACCACAGGACCAATGAGTAGACGATAATTAGTGGTCCTGTCTGTACTTCAGTGGTCCAAAATAATATATATTTGGATTTACTTTAGAAATTCACTGCCAACCAGGACCACTGCAAACGTATCATTTAGTGGTCCTGATGAATGTTTACTAGCCAGGGACCACAGGACCAGCGTCAATTTCGTACACTGAAAGTACACATAACTGTTTCACATTTTAAAAAATAAGATCAACATTAATTTTTTTCATATATGGCACCATAGTAAACACCTGACCCTAATTTTTCATGTTGACATCTGATTGACAGCTGATTGTTCAGAAATTAGCTAAAATCAGGTCTGCACTCTTAAAATGATAAATGATATGTGAGTTTTTGTGTGTTTGCTTGTACTTGCTTTGTGCCAGTTTATATTGCTAGTACACCGAGATGCCACAGTGTTTAACATGGATACCCCACTTAGACACAGCATACAGACACTGAACCAACCAATCCATGTATTATCACCGTAATGTTGAACACCAGGCAGGGAAACAATAAGTAACACAGTTTAATGTCATATGGTATGAGGCAGCCAGGGACTGAAACACGCACGCACGCACTCATAGCAAACATTCTATCCACTAGACCACAGGGGGGTTTACAAAGACTGTAGTCTAAGAGTCAATTACATAAAAGTACTTACTTTCTTCACATTACTGGATCAAACTTACAGTAAGTATATAAAAGAACAATCAGTTGATATTTCAATGCCAAAAAAGGCATATATAAACACTATAAGTCTGGTCAACCAACAATGATTTTAAAGCTTTCTAAAGTTCTTGAGAATACCCAATGCAATTTAGAAAGTGAGTGAGTGAGTGAGTGAGTTAAAATTTAACGTCACATCGGCAATATTTCAGCCATATTGTGACAAGAACACTTTATTTTCTGCATAGTAAGTAATGGTAAACTATAAAAACCTGTCAACGAAGGACAGTAAAATAACTAGATTATCAGAGATTAATTTAGAAAGTGGTAAAATGTAACATGTCATAAGCGGGATTACAATTTCACAGTAAACACTCAACCCCCAAAAGGACTAAAATTTGTAATTTACTGAAAACGTGTAACCCCAAATATATGTTATATACATGATATATGAGTCCACACAATATTTTATGCATTCATTCATTAATTATCAGTATGCCTGGTAATAAGTTACATGACAGTTTTGTTTCATGGTCAAACTGTCTTCTGCCTGTCATGATAATATTTTTACAATATTACACATAACATAGGCTCCAGGAGAAACAATATAACAATACAGTATTGTATCGAGATGAGACTCACTATACAATATATCAATATATGAATCCTGTATTTCAATGTATGTGATATATTACAAGTTATTTTGATGCAATAACATGTGAATTATAACACATTTTTCCGTACTGCGAGATGTCTGAACGATTCTGCGAGGTGGTTTGTCTCAAGATGCGCCTTCAAAGCACTAGTTTATGCAGATTCTCCAGTAGTTTCTGGTTGGCTACAATTAACAGAACCTGCACAGTGTCCCCAAGACTATTTGGTTTCTACCCTACGATATCCCATCCTTGCTGTCTGATATTTGAAATTCATGATTCATGATTCATGATTGTGATTCAACTACAAAAAAGGAGAGAATATGAAATACAAGTACTGTCTTAGGATACAAATCGTACTGCACCCACATTACTGGGAGATATATATCGTATCGCGGCCCGTCTGTATAATTAAACTACTGACATGGTCATGCTTGTCTGGTGATTATTATAACTGTTTGCTTCATTATGTGACTAGACATGTTACACCATGAGAATACTAACTGTACTGCGTTCATTGTGAGTTACACGATTCATGTTGGTGTTTCCCAGCAGGAACCTGTGTCACAAGTTAATAATGTGTCCCTTTATTCAAGAAAGCAAGGTGCATTCACATTTCTCACGTTACATCATGTTCCTGCCTAACCTACAATTTATGGAAAAAGGAAATTTTTCCACTGTCAATATCTGGCAGGGTGGTTATTCCAGGAAAACATAGCTAATTTCATGAAAATCAAATCACAAAAACAGTGCCTCTCTCTATATCCTGCAAGCTGAAGGATCACTGCTAGTGTAGAAAGATGCCTGAATGATTTATGGGATGGGCCCAAAATATTTCGACAAGTTTCAGGATATAAAATTTAGAAAATTGAAAATCTGTGCATCCTTAATGGCATTTTTTTAAATGCAGTTAATTTAAAAAGAAAAGTCACAAAAATGTGCCCCTAGCTGCATGCTGCTCGCTGATAATGTTGTGTACTTGACTTCCCTCATTCAAAGAGCACACGAAGCATGTTTCGTTCCTTCATTTATTCACAAAGTTACCTGAAGTGAATTGCATTGCACATGACGTTTATTATGTGACGTAATACGTGTGGATGTAGATGACATAACAGAGAATTACTGATATTTAATGGCAAGAGGACACCAGTTTAAATAATTTGACCAAAACAACCCCCCCCCAAAATGTGCTTTTTTTTTATACCTTTGCTTTCTCCACAAGTCATTTAATAAAAATGTGAATGAGCTCAAGAAAATTCTTTCTCTACACTTAAGAAATATATGTATACATACTACCAGCAGAATGCTCTCTGAATTCGAAAAAATTGAAAAAAAAAGTTATTTTTATGAATACCAATGGCAATGAATTCTAAATTTTGCTTCTCAATGACATACTAGGTTTATTGGAACCAAGATGAAATGATCCGTGGTATTTGAGTGAGTGAGTGAGTGAGTTAATATTTAACGTCACATCGGCAATATTTCAGCCATATCGTGACGAGATCATATTTGACATTGAAATGGAATTTTTCTATATTATAAAAACCTGTCATCGAAGGACAGTAAACCAACTAGAATATCACAATTTGGGTTAAAAGTAGTAAAGAAAGTTAAAACTAATAGCACTATCGGGACAAAACAAAAACTGGCTATAGATCACCAACAACTGAAGGTAGATCACCATACTAGGGACCATGGGGACTTACAGTACTTTTGCTACCAGCATGGACCCTAGCTGGATTTATATCATCCCTTCAGCCGCTGGCGATTGAAGTCAAATTTAGCCAAAATTAAAATGACAGAAATGCTACATTTAAAACAGCTGGTAAATTTAATTTTCCTTTGAAAGTTTTGGGACTTACGTACCCTCTCAGGAGGACAATAATTTTACGCTACTTCAATCCCATTTGAGGGTACAGCCACTAACAATCTCAGTTATTAATCTAAACTACCAATAATAAAATAAATATCTATTTACAAATCATTTAACAAATCTAATTCTTTTAAAAATGCAATAATTAAATGAGAACTTATATTATTAATAAGATCCTTCATAGTTCGTGATTTGAAATAGATATCCCTTGTGATGCAATATTCAACACAGTCAAGCAAGACATGCTTGACCGTGATTCTTTCATCACAAGGAATGCAAAACGGAGGATCTTCACCTTTAAGCAAATATTCATGTGTATATCTTGTGTGGCCAATGCGACACAGTCGTATGATGACCTCTTCAAATCTGGACTGACAACCCAAGTAGGTGTAACCAATGTAGGGTTTTATTTCATGTAATTTATTGATACCTACCTGGGTGTCCCACTTCTTTTGCATCAGATCACGGATGTAGGTTCTAATGCTAGCTTTGTAATCAGAGTATGGAATAAGAAGTGGTGTCACAGATTTGTTGAGTGCTGCCTTGGCAGCAAGATCAGCCATTGTGTTACCAGAAATGCCAACGTGGCTGGGTAACCAACAAAAGACGATGTCGCATTGGCCAGTAGCAAGATCATTATACAATTCAATAATTGGTTATATTTACGGTGTATGTTTTCAAGAGAGATTTTTATAGCCTGAAGGCACGAAGAGAATCGGAAAAGATTATATTACAATTCAATAATTGGTTATATTTACGGTGTTTATTAATATATTTAAGAGCTGTTAATATGGCATTAGCTTCTGCTGTGAAAATAGAGCTGTTATTGGGCAATCGAGAAGATAATGTTTTGGAACCAATGACAGTGGCACATGCCACTGCGCCACCATCCTTGGACCCATCTGTAAATAAGGATTTGTATGTATAATACTGTAATTTATTTCTTTGTGATTTTTAAATGTAGTTAATGTTAGGTCAACTTGTGGCCTAACCAATTGCCAAGGCGGAGAAGAAAGAAGATGGGAAGGAGATATATTTTCCAGCTCAATGCCGGCAGCAGAAATGAATGGTTTAATTCTTACACCAAGAGGCGGAACAAGAGAAGGCTTATTGTTGTACAAATACTCATACAGAGGATTAAAGGCACAGTTAAATGCAGGGTTAGATTCAATAGAATAAAGTTTTGTTATATACTGCAAGGATAATGTTATACGGCGTTGTGTAAGAGATGGTTCATCTGCCTCGACGTAGAGACTGTCAAGAGGAGAAGTTCTGAAGGACCCAAGACAAAGTCTTAAACCTTGGTGATGGACAGAATCTAATAGTTTTACGTTGCTTTTGCAGGCTCCACCATATACAATGGAGCCATAATCAAGTTTTGAACGAACCAATGATCGATATAGGTGGAGGAGGGTAGCTTGATCCCTTCCCCACTTTGAGTTGGATACAACTTTCAACAAATCAAGGGCCTTCAGGCATTTTGCATTAAGGGATTTAATGTGCGGCAAAAAAGTTAAATGGGAGTCGAAAATTAGACCCAAGAACTTGGCCTCCTTAACAACTTTGATCGGAGTGCCATATAATGATAGTTCTGGGTCTTTATGCGGCTTATATTTTCTACAAAAGTGTAGACAATTAGTTTTGGACTTTGAAAACTTAAAGCCATTTTCAAGACACCATTTATTTATTTATTTTATTTAAACACAACTGCAATTGCCGTTCAATAGTATGCATATTTTTACCACGACAAGAAATATTAAAATCATCCACAAAAAGTGATCCATCGATTGAATCGTCTAAAACCTTTGATAAACTGTTGATCTTGATACTAAACAATGTTACAGACAAAATACTTCCTTGTGGGACACCCTGATCCTGATTATAATGGTCAGACAGGGTTGAACCCACTCGGACTTGAAATTGCCTGTCATCCGTGGTATTTGAGAAAGAAAGTATGTTAAATCGGTATTGAGATAAACGGCTCACCATCTTTATGTCCAATCTGGCAGGGGAAGTATGGAAGTTGACCGACTGCCTGAAAAATGAATGAAAACAACCCAATTACTTCAGAAACAGATTCTTCAAAAACAGATCTGCGAGAGGGACATGACGTGCTTGATAACGGTGTTAGAATCTACACTGAAACGCTGTATCTATTGCAATACAGTATGAAGTTGTCTATCCTTAAAGTGTTCCTCTTCATCATCCCAGCTTCTAAATGCCACTTAAAGTTACTTCATTTAAATGGAAATGAGTCCTCATTAGATGAGGAAATTAGAACCTGAATTTGAGGAAAATCTTCATTTGATGTGTTCGCATTGAAAGGGGCTGGGCAGAATGAAAACTGTTGTGGTTCAGGAAATGTGAGACAAACTACAGTCAATTTGCTGCAAGATCAAATGGCAAATTAACCTTACAACAAATCGTCTTCAATGGCATAAAAGTTTGTCATTTTTCCATGCCAAATCATCTCTTTAATTTCAGACATTGGCATGATGAAGAGGAAAAGTTGTTTAACAAATGATCGTGTAAATGTTGGTGTTTTAATGACTGTTGGGGGTAAGCAGTTTATGTAGAAAATAGACTTTAGCACCACTGTCTCAGCATCAACACCGATTTTGCAAGATATGTTTATGGAATCTCATTAAAATTTGATCTGTTTGTTAAAATCAGCTTAACAAACATCGGAGGACATCGCATTAAACATTCTCTGGCACTGACATTTTACTTTTACTTCATGGAAGGTCATAAGGTCAAGGGTCATACTGTTCTGACATGGCCAGTGGATTAAATCAAGGATGAGGACTATTTTTATGAATATACAACTTCTTTATTCTGTATAGGCGACGTCTCGACATAGATTCTAATGTCGTTGTCAAGCAAGTTGTCATCAAGAATCTATGGCACCCATAAAAACAATTGTATTTCTATCCCTGCAGTGTGAAATAGTGACGACCCCTGGTTCACAAAACAGGAGCATATCCTGCCACAAGTCAGTAGTTCACCTGATGAAACATGGGTTGATAGAGGTCAAAATAGAGGACTCCATCAGACCTGCCTGCAGAATTTGAGTGGCTTGGTGGGTGATTGCACCAGAAATAAACAGAACAGATGTCAGGAATTAATGTCCTGGTTCTACAGCTTGCATGAACTTTATCATGTTATTAGATGGCCATGGGCGTCTGATAGAGGAGATACGGTATGTAGACAGACGCCCAGTCACAGGACCTGTCCTGTTATTCCCAATACAAATGACACTCCTTCTTTAAGTGGCTATTAGAAGCTGGTATGATGAAGAGGAACAAATTTCATGGATTGACAACTTTTTTATTGCAATAGACGTGATATTTTTTGCTTGAATAATCAGTGTTAGCATCTACACTGAAATGTCGAATTTATTGCATTAAAGTAGTCAATCCATAAATTTGTTCCTCTTCAAATGACAGTACTACCACGGCATGCTTGCAATACAATTTTACTTGGCAATACTTTTCCTCCATCGTGACATGTTTTTCCCTTTCAGTACACCTGCCTGACCAGCATATTTGATAACAGATAAGAAACTTTCAGGAATGTGAGATCTCTGACAAGGGAATGTGTTTTAAGATTTGATCCTGAACATACAGTTTCAACTGAAAAAACAACAGATGAGACAGTTTTGTAACTGGTCTAGCAATTCTAAAAAAAATAAAAATTCAAAAAATGGAACTAAAATGTAATCTAAACCTCAATACCAGAGAGAAGTCAGTTTTCATTATCTGATGAAACATATTCTGTCAGACATCAAACATATGTTATTTTTTCTCCACAAATATGTGCTCAAAAACAATATGTTACAACAGCTTTGATAATTTGAAGAAATAAATATAACTCAAACTGACAACATATTAAAATAAACAGTTTCATTTTCTAATGCCAACCCATTTAAAAAAAAATGAAGAATATCAGTGTTTTATTGCATCAGTGTTTTTATTGAATGATATGATATCTGCGGGAGATCACTTCCTCATTGCTTGAACATTGTCCATCTAGTGGATTGCGCCCTCTCCAATCGTGCTCTCCTGCTATCCTGTCATTGCCGTTATGTTACTGGTTTGATAACAAGCACCTTATCGTTGACATTTGACTTACTTCTATAAACGATGTGCCCTTGACAACCATAGCAAGATTCTGACACAATATTATTCAGGTTGAAAGATTACAAGCACACGGGAGTTTGAACAGAGTCATGTCTTTTCAGAATGTATATGTGCCAATTATCATTTCTACATGAACTAGACAATAATCAGTTGTCATTTACAAACCTTTCACTTGATCACTGAGATTGCTAACCTACCATTGTCATTTTGTTAATGAAGAGTTTTTATGTGGTCATTTTCATGTGTATGTCCAGTTTACTTGTGTGAAAATTACATATTTCATCGGTTTGATAATAAACAATTTCACAATATATTAAAAACGAATTTTTACGTTTGTGTTGTTCCCTGTTGTTTGGCAACAGGAACTAATTTCAATCATCCCACTACAGTTTTTACTCTGCTACTGACACTCAAACATGAGATATCGATGCACTAGGTATCTGCCTATATTACAGGGTGGTGGGGTAGCTTAGTGGTTAAAGTGTTGGTTGTAATGCAGAACTGGGTTTGATTCCTCAAACAATGGATACAGTGAGTGAAGGCCATTTCTGGTATCCCCTGTTGTGATATTGGTGGAATATTGCTAAAATATTACTTCCTCACTCCTATATCACATTATCTACTTTGTACACCTCACCACACAGGTGCAAGGGGAGAATAATCCCATCCAAGGTCTTACACAGACATGGGTACTTAAACCATGCCTTAATTATCTCTCACAATAGGGGGCGGTGGGGTAGCCTCGTCACGCCGAAGACCCGGGTTCGAATCCCCACATGGGTACAATGTGTGAAGCCCATTTCTGGTGTCCCCCGCAGTGATGTTGCTGGAATATTGCTAAAAGCGGCGTAACACCAAAACTCTCACAATAGCTGGACCACCAGTAGTGTTCCTGAGATCACATGTACAGAGACTAAGATATGCTGTATATGATGGAGAATTGTGCTTGTTCATTGGCCTGGTTTGTTAAATCGTCATGTCAGATACATGAGCTGGCTATTCTTAGAGCTGATGATGACACATTAATTTATGTTGGTTTAGATATTTCATCATTTTGCAAGATTTTAATCTTGTGGTAAGATATTGACTCATATTGTGTCAGATAGTTCATTGTTTTGGTTAGACATCTAGTTATTTGGCTTAGATATTTATTATTTGGGGTATATGTGTAAATATTTATGGGTAAAACTTAATTATTTAGGGCAGAGGGTTACATATATCCATTTTGTAATTATGTATAAATCAAATAGTTGAATATCTAACCCATCTAAAAACTTAAAGGGTGATCCCAAATGATTAAACATCTAACACCAATGAGAAGTGGCAGGTCACAAATGAAAAAGAACAGTTTATTTTGGGACATTTATTTCAGAAATGATTATAATCTGATTACCTAAATATTTGGCTACTGATGACTCTCAATTTGAGAACGGGAACCAACAATGTCATGTACACAGAGGATAACTGTTTAACTTAAAATTGAAATGTGAAAAACGTTCCCAGAATGGAAACATGACCAATGCATGAAATGAATATAATTCCCAATGCAACATATTAGTTTAAACCACTCAGGTGTATCGTTTGGGTGAAGAACAAAGAATAATTACTCCCAGGGCTCCAGATAAGGGCCGTATCGGCGTATGTACGGATATAAAATAAGCACGATACTGTATGAACCAATTTTAAAAACATAGCAGATACGGACCACAGCAATGGTGTACGGTTTCAGAATCATTTACAGACGTATTTATCTGAAAAAGTATTGTTTTATTGTTTACTGACCTGTCTACACAAGAGTAGCAATGTTGTGGTGCATATATGAAACGAAACACAAGATTACTGATACGCCATTAAATTCCATTCAGTACTCTAAATGTACTCTTATTGTTTTCCAGTACTCCTATATTGCAAAAATAAGGAGTACGTACTTCTGATGTTGAAACATTATCCTGAGCCCTGACTCCCAAACCATAATGGCGGTAGTGTTAGGATACATAAAGCCATACGATCGTGTTTCTGATACACCAGGATACTCCAGATGCACCAACTCACACAGGATCATTACAGGTCAGTTTGCTTTGTTGATGATTGAGACACAAGTTTGTAACAGAGGTAGAAACAATATCCTACCCACTGAACCTTCAGATTCAGTAAATGCACTTTCAGTTGGACATAATTGGTCACAATGTTATCATTAAATATCCTTTTTGTACCGTACCCAACCAAGCATGCAATTGTATAAATGCCACACAAAACATACCACCTATCTTTGTTTAGATGTACTCACCAAAACCAAAAGAGAATATACCAGGAAGAAAACAATCCAACCATGAAATTCCAAAAACAATTGTCTTGCAAGTCTTATCTGACTGAAAGGGATGCATGTCAAAGATATGCCAGGAAGGAGAAATCCTCAGAAAAGTCAAGTTAGACTTTCCTCTTACCAGAAACAAGCAATCAGTATGATAATTAGGGCTGCGCAATATAACCGGTATACCAGTATTTACCAGTTCAGGCATGAAAACGATACGTATTGTGATACGCTGATCGAAAACCGGTATTTTGACATGCATTCGGAAAACTTCATAACACTCGTAAATCTTCGGATATTTCCGTTTCTTAAATTATTCCTTTCCTTGTTTCATTTGTGCCAAACATTATTTACATTTTCATTTTGTCATGATTAAAAGTTTCTATTAAAGCCTAATCAAGCATAGTGATTTTGTTGTGATTTCGCTTTATTAATCAAGCATTAACTCGATTATAAGAAGTTTTTTGTTAAAAAAACTTCTTGCAATATATTGCAATACATATTGCAATATATGCTGTCGCATCGCAATATATCGCAATATGAAAATTATCTGCAATACCCACCCCTAATGATAATAACCTGTAAACAATCAATCTTGACCAGACAATCCAGTGATCAACAGCATGAGCATCGATCCATGCAATTGGGAACCGATGACGTGTCAAACAAGTCAGCGAGCCTGACCACCCGATCCCGTTAGTCGCCTCTTACGCCAAGCATAGTTGCTTTTTGTGGCAAGCATGGGTTCCTGAAGACCAGACCATGAAGATCTGGGGTAGAATAGGTCTTCAGCAACCCATGCTTGCCACAAAAAGCAACTATGCTTGGAGTAAGAGGCGACTAACGGGATCGGGTGGTCAGGCTCGCTGACTTGGTTGACACGTCATCGGTTCCCAATTACGCAGATCGATGCTCATGCTGTTGATCACTGGACTGTCTGGTCCAGGCTCGATTATTTACAGACCGCCGCCATATAGCTGGAATATTGCTGAGTGCGGCGTAAAACTAAACTCACTCACTCACTCACTCCTGAAGACCAATTTTAACCCAGACCTTACACGTTAGTAATAAGAAAATGTGCGATGGATACTTGTATAGTTTTGGTCGATGGCTTAATACTTTATTGATTCATGATATTATAGTTTCTTTGAGAGTGAAATTTCGGACACCTGGCAGCACTCTGAAATGCTTCTAAGTTATTTTTAGCCTTTGTGGTCTAGTGGATAGAGCCCAAGCTTTCTGAGCAGTAGGACGGTGGTTCGAATCCTGGCCACGAGGTACTTTTTATTCACCATAATCAGATTTATGTAGATATACAGGTAAAGGAGCAGAGGGGTTTTCAAACTGTCATTATGGATAAAAACTTAAAGTTCTGGGCTAGTTCTTGGCTAGTCGTCAGGCGAATGATAATTGTATGATAAAGAACAGAAATTTGGTTATATAATGAAAAATTATCCTTAAAAATTTGTTTAGAATGCCTGTATAGAAATTAAATTTACACAAAACATGGCTTATTGGTGACAGTAGCTTGACTGTATCATAATTTATTTTTCCCCGTTTCAAAAGTGACACTGTTGGACTGGACTGATTTTTACATAAAGGATGGCTTAATGGGACAGCTTCATGTTAACCGTTGGCTGCTGCATTACCTCACAGACCATACACCGATTTCGTTCACCTGATGACTTGCCAAGCAGTAGCCCAGATATGTATACGTATATCTATTTATTATTCATTATAACATTCAGTGTCATGTGTTTATCTAGTACTATATCAGTATTCACTGAAGATGAATATTTATCATGGTAGAACAGAGGTGCAATATGCAGGATATTTGAGACTGTCAAGTTACACGCTATTGAATAATGATGAAATCAAAATCAAATATCTTTTTTTTAAATAGAAGAAAAATATTGCCGTACATTTGCCAAGATGGTACATGAAAAAAATTGCAAAATATATTTGTTTGTCCCTAGGTAAGAGATTCTAAAAGCCACTAAAAAGAATTAATACAGTATTATCAGAAGCATATATTTACTGGCTATAAATTACCCAAATGTCAGAATCCAAGAGAATAATACATCAATGACTACCCAAAGAGACCTATCAGTACCCAGTACCCTACCAGTACACATTTATAAATATGAACTGGCTCAAAACATTACCTGGAACATTGCATAATTTTCTCAAATTTTGTTTTCCCACTTTATTTACCTGCCCTGGCATTTGTAGTGCCTCAGATCATTGGGAACGTTGTAGGTGTTACATTTGTTCAAGTTTTAAATACTTTACTTGATTTAAAACCTTTTAAGAAAAAAATATCATGTTTGTATCTGCTGAACTCTGCAACAGACACTTCCCTTTACTAGCATGTGCTAATTTTGTACACATTTCATACATACATACAGTTTATACGTGGAATTGAGAAATTGTCCCCGACCCAGTTGTTTCGCTTGTACAGTGTAACAGTAATCGTGACCTAATTATCGTTCCCCATAATAGGAATTGACAATAAAAACACCTAAAGAATGCTTAACTAAATTCAGACTGCATCACACGTACAATTCTCGTTAACAATTCACATTTAAGTAACGTTCTGTCAGATAAAAATATCTTTGTCAAGATTTGTAATTAACGTTGTGGAGAACTGCGACTTATTCTTGAGAGGTTGTACTTACAGCCTGGCTACAGTTCTTGGGGGCACAGTCAGTGTCGTATCGGGTCATGTCTTCCTCGGCATGAACACTGGAACATGTCTCCTCGAGGTGGAAAATTCCAATAATGAAAACCCCAAGGAAAAGTCGTGTGATATCCATATTCTTTGTCACTTGTTGTCATGGATAAATATATTTGGGTGTCTTCGTGACGGTTGAACACATGCTCTCAACCAGGAAGTAACCGCGTACCTGTAACTCATACCCGTTCTATAATCCGGTTTGGATTGGCCGTGTGCCTGTCTCTGGGGACGGTCTCGTTGTCAGGTTGCGAAACAGTTGTGAGTACGCTCGGTGGTATGATTTACGTCTGTGTAAGCGGATTCGTCACTGTTTATTTATTTTTTGAGTCAGAACAAATATATCGCGCTGAAGCTTGTTCAGTTCAGAAAACTGCATGAGGAATTAGATTGAAAAAGGAAAAAGACCCAGGGGATCTGAAATTTCTTTGCTAGGTGTAGCTCTTTGACCGAACCAGACCATGTTTACCGATCAGTGGAATTATCAATAGTGAAAAACACGTGTTGAATGAGTGAGTTTGATAAAGTTTATAAATATCTCAGCCATCTTGAGTTATGGAGTGAGTGAGTATCTGCTTGTAGCTATATTCCAGCAATATTACGACGGGGTTCATCGTAATGGGCTTCACGATTTGTACTCATGTGGGGAATCGAACCCGGTACATGGGCGGATCCACCAAAAATTTTCAAAGGGGGTAGGAGGGGGGGGGGGGGTGTGTGTTTCCTCCCTCTCTCTCTCTCTCTGTAGCAACCTTTAAACTTACTACCAGGGGAATTTTATTATTGAATATTCCCTTTTCCTTCTTCCTTAATTCTGTGGACACTACTTCTTCCTTAGTTTCAAAACAGTGCATACCTGACCAATCAAGTATAGGAAATATATTTAGTGATCGTCGTAACACAATGCTTGAATCTTCACACCGTAAGATACGCCCCTACATTCCGGGAACAAACTCCGGCTTATGCACCACTGCTGCAAATACAAATACCGTAGTGTATCAGTGAGTAAGTAAGGATTTGCGCCGCTTTAAGCAATATTCCAGCCATATCACAGCTGAGGATATCCATGTGGGGAATCGAACCCGAATCTTCTGCGTGACGAGCGAACGCTTTAACCTCTTGGCTACCCCCGCCGCCCTCCGTATAAGTGAAATACTCGTCGTGCAACTCGTTGCAAACCCATCCAATCGTGGACTTGCCGTATTTCCTTGGTTAAAGGCCCTCCAACGAATAACCGTCGGTGCCTCGTTTATATGCCGGGCCTCGTTTAAACGCCAGGTAGTTTTATAGTTCTTTGCGATTAAACGTCACGTTTAGACTAACGCTTAGTCTCTGAAAATATATAATTGTGATAACAACAATAATTGTAAATTGTATTATAGTTGACAAGGAGACCCTTTGACGTGGGAAATTCAGAACGTCAGGGAACGCTTGTTGTGACCTTAAATGTAGAATGGGCTTAAGTGTAGAATAATCATGAATATTCATCAGTGGGCGCACAACAAACGCTTCCCTCGTTTTGGGCTTTTGCATTACAGTGAGGGCCGGGGGGAAGGGAAATAATTTGGTGCAGCTAACCTGTAAAATAAGCTTTTAATTGAAGAAATACGGTACGTAGCCTGCTTCAGGTTTATCCCTTCACCAACTTTAAACGTACATACAACGATAAAGACTAACATCTTGTCTCTGAAATGAACATATTTAACAGAATACAGCAGTTTCCAAAATATATTCATAAAATATAATAAAAGGGAGCCCATGCAGAGACTCTCTTCCTGAAACTGTGGTAATCGAGGCTCGCCACATATTCTAGATTTGCATGAACTGTATTTGGTACGTTGTTTCAGGGTCTGTATGGCAGGCTAACATTTCTTTTCTTTTTTTTTTTTTTTTTCGCCGCATTTATCAATATTCCAGCTATATGGCGACCGTCTGTAAATAATCGAGTCTGTACCAGACAATCCAGGGATCAACACCATCTGCATCGATCTACGCAATGCATGGGGATATGATGACGTGTGTCAACCAAGTCAGCGATTCTGATCACCCAATCGCGTTGTCGCCTCGTACGACAGGCGTGGGTTACAGAGTGCTAATTCTAACCCGGATCTTCACGGGTATGATTGACTAATAAGCATGGAACTGAGCTACAAATGAAAGCGTCCTTAAGACCCCACTGTTATCTTTACTCTCTGTGTTAAGATGGCTGCACGTACATATGTGAGTTATGGCCGTGCGTTTCTTGAGTCAAATGTCAAAACTATTGGTGTCTGTCTCTCTCTCTCTCTCTCTCTCTCTCTCTCTCTCTCTCTCTCTCTCTCTCTCTCTCTCTCTCTCTCTCTCTCTCTCTCTCTCTCTCTCTCTCTCTCTCTCTCTCTCTCTCTCTCTCTCTCTCTCTCTCTCTCTCTCTCTCTCTCTCTCTCTCTCAAATAGCTGAATTTTCCCCGTACCTATTATACTTAAAGCACGTGGGCGCTTACAAAAGCAAGTATGGGGTACTTTCCAAGCAATAAAAATCGTAGTCCTAAATTTTGAACACAGCAACACAGACACTCTTTACAATGTACATAGAGTCTGGGATATCCTGAACAGCGTGTTGGGGCACCCAGCATATCGTATCTGTAGATCCTCCTTTTTTGTTCGTGCTGCAACCCGTCAATGACCTCATGTCAAGCAACACTTTGAACATCTTACATGACCAGGCACGACCCACAGAGCGCTCTAGGGGATTCCCCTTGTAACACACACAAGGAAGCTGTGTGACTTGTGTCTAAGTAAATACAGGTTGACAACACGGGAAGACGCTATTGACCCAGGTTTACAGGCAGGAAGTGAATTAAGTGACAAATGCGATCGGGAATATCATTTCATATAAATATTTTGCCTCAAACGTGTTTTATGTCATATTCGTTAATTTAATTTGCACAAACAAGCGCGCGTAACACACATGCAGACACACATACGTAACACACGCACTCACACATACATAACACACGAGCCCACACATACGAGCACACTCTCATATTGGACATTATATATGTCCATAGAGTGGAATATTGGCATTATGGCTGTATGTCCCCATGTCATTCTGTTGTATCTGCTATATTTGCTATAATGTGGGCTGCTCGTGGCACAGAAAATACTTATGTTTCTTCCTCTGTATAGTATAAAGGTGTCAGTTAGTTTATCCTCAAACGTGTTAATCCAGAGACCGAATCCTCCGGATTATTGGGGTTTCACTATACCATCTACGGTAATTCTTTAAGCAGGGGTTGGTCCTGGACTCGATATGCCACTGGAGCAATCAAAATAAACATGGTCAGTTCAAGACTTCAAGATAGTTGTTCTTGTGACGTCAAAACAGTGTCGCAAAATATGGTCACTTAGAAACCCTCCGATGTGAGGTATTAAGCTCTACATCGGGGATCTAAGCGATGGTCTTGGGTGCTATGATTGGTCAGTGGAATTTCCCCCATGAAAGTATTTCAACAAAAGTACGTTAGGGTAGACTAACATGGAGTCACTGGAATGAAAACGGTTTACGTCCTAAATTATGTTCATAAAATACAATCAAAATGAGCACAGGGACTTTTCAGAAACTGAAACTGGCAATCCAGACTCGACACACTGTTATAGGGATACATGAGGTTATCAGGCGATGCGTTTGCCGTTTCTGACAAGTTTTCTGCATAGCAGCGTGTATGTCTATTTAACGGAAAGGCGCCATTTCCTGCTTTATCAAATGTCGTATATCATCGATTAGACGCACGGGGATATACATCACATACTGTATTTTATTTATCTTACAAAGAATCAGTTGATACAGTATTTACGGATCTACTACCAGTCATTCTAAAGTTCATAAGAAAATACCCAATGCATTTTAGAAAGTGGTAAAATGTGACCTATGTCACATTTAGGATTGCAATTTCTAGAATACGTACTAAAATTTCTACTTCACTGAGACATTGTAGCCCCAAATATAACATATATGAGTTCATACAACATGCTTGTTTTAAACCCTAAATAAGCATGCATTCATTACTTATATGTCCCTAAGGTACATTTGTGCTTCATTATCAAACAGTGTTGCACAGTGTTCAAACGATATTGTATGTCTGATCCTAATGTATATTGGACAGTTCGTGTCATGGCCAATAGGCCAGTAGAAATCGACGTCAAAATAAAATAACCTAGACATTTGTGATAACAAGCCAATTATTGCAGGAAACTGTTCATAGGTGTCTATTTATCATGTACACAAAATCCAAGAAAAATCAAGAATGGGGAAATATGTTTTTGAGGGTGTCCAACAAAGGGCCAGAAGCTTCGTTTTCAGCAAACTACGCAAAAGCAGTTGTAAGAAGATAAACAGTGTTGTGCCTATCATGATAAGATATTTTGACAATATTGCACATAACACAGACTCGTGTTGTAACAATGTGCAATACGGTACTGTCTTAGGAGACGGGATTCACTATACAATATATCAAATCGTTACTGGCGTATTGCATGGCATGCGATTCATTACAAGTTATTTTGATAAAGAAACATGTGAGTAATAACAGAAACAGTTTAAGTACTACTGAACCACAAAAGAAATGTCGCACCGATAGCGGTTCCCCAAAGCACACACATTAATTCACTCTAATTAACAATCAGAACGGTGGACTGAGTTCAAACTTGACAATTATGGTTAACACATTTTCGGGAATTACATTTAGAAAATCACAAACAAAATCACCAAAAATGGTACCATTAAGATACTCCGAAGTCAGTATTGCGTGTGGCCTCTATGGGCATCGATGAAGCGTTGCATCGTCTGTACATGGAATGAATTAGCCGGTTGATGAAGGCCATAGGCACTTGGTTCCATACTCTGTGAAATGCCTGATCGAGTCCAGCCGGAGTTGTCGGCCTTGGTTGGAGGTCATTCAGTCTTCTTGGAATATCGTCCCAAAGGTGTTCTATTGGACTCAAATCCGGACTGAGTGCAGGCTATTTGAAGGGTTTGGTTGCCATGTTGTCTTAGGAAGTCCAATTTTACTCTGGCAGTGTGGGCACGAGCGTTGTCTTGCTAGAAGATGTGATTTCTATAACGTCCAAAATGTGGTACAGACGTGGGATCTTATGACTTGGTCAATATAGCGAGCAACTGTCACGTCATTTCCTCATCCTGGACCG